TTCAGTTTACCAACCAAACATTTTGATGATGAATTGAATTTCCTTCTCTCACATTTACATGGATGTATCCATGTGTTAGATGATAAGCAATATATATATATATATATATATATATATATATAAAATAATAATAATAATAATAAAAGTTAAGGTTTTTTGGTTAAATTAAAATAAAAGAGGAAAAAAAAAGTTGTTTAGTAAGGAAAAAAAATATTATTTAAAAATATCATTTCATCCTTGCGTTAATTTCCATATCATTTTTATTACCATTTTTTAGCTAATCATAATTAGCACTAAATAATAAAAAGTGAATAGTTTGTAAAATTTATATTTAAAATTTAATATTGAAAATAAAATTAAAAACTTAAAATTTAATTTATTTATTTTAATAGAATTAATATTTAAAATTGATAATTATTCCAAACAATTTCATTTTTTTGTTTTACCAATGGAGATAACAAAGTTACAATTTATGATCTCAAGCATATTAATAAAACTCTCATGATTAGTCTAAATCTAATGAATTATTATTAATAGTAGTGATAATACTTAAACTCATACGTCTAGTGTTTAACAACAATACTTGGATGATTTGATTCAGTTTAAATCTAGATTCAAAGCCTGCATAAAGTGTTTCTGAACAAATATTTGGATGAGATTCATCATCAATGTTAAGTCCTAGAGTACGAGTGTAACGATTCTACATCTATCGAAAGATCCATGACAGATATTGTTAATCTTTTATTAAAAATAAGAAATATGTTTTAGAATGTTATATAACCAATATATTGCTCTAGTAGAAAGGAGGAGAAGAATCAACAAATATAGTGATGTCATGTAATTTTTTTCCTTAAAATTCAATTTTTTGTCATGGACATTGTGAGCGTTCCAAAACTAACAATCAAATCAATATGCGCGATTTTGGTAATGTATGCATAACAAATAACAATAATAAGATAAATAAAGCATAGGTAATAATATGCGATTATGTCAAACTTTTTTTTTTATTTTATATATATATATATTTTAAGATAACATATTAATCCAAATCTCGTATTTGTTTTTCATTTTGATTTTACCCAGAAGTTAACAACACACTGCTCTTCTCTCTTCCATCGTTCGAGTTTGAATTTGATTTGGACGAGGTTGGAGGTTTGCAATTTTTGTTGGGTTTTGAATCTGATTGTCTTGTGTATTAAGGTTTGAGTTTTACGCGTAGAGATGGATAGCCCTCCGAAGAATGAAAGTAAGGGATTTTTTGCATCCATGTCTTCCATGTTCAGCAACGCTATGCACCGATCAGTCAACGGGTACTTCATCTTCAATTCTTCATCATTTGTTCCTTAATTCATATGCGTTGTTTGTGTACCCATATTTGCTCCGTTTGATGATTGCATTCCTGGTATGAAAATGTTCCCCTGTTGATCACCTGAATTGTAGATACTAGCCACGTACGACATTGCATTCTTTTTCCTTTTTCTTTTGGATAAAGATGTTATCAAGTATCACCTGCTTCGGTCATTGCTAATTTTTGTCAGCTATCTTGGGTCTCTCTTTCTAACTGTATTTTTTTTATATACAAAACCCGAACCCAATATCTTGTTTAAAAGAATCAAGTCTATTAACACTTGGATCAACGACTTGTTGGTACGACATTGCATTCTTACAACACTAGAATTGATTCAATGAAGCAAACGCGTGTAATTGCATTGCAATGCTATTTCAAGGGAAAATGTGTTTGTATTTGATAACATAAATACACATTGGATTGCATTGGATGAGGTGGTTCTTATGTGATTAAAATGACTGGCGGACAGAAACTTTGCTCCATCGATTTGTGCTTTGTAGCTCTTTACTCCATACGGACCATACCACGGTTTTCATTCCTGCAATGAATGTTGGTTTGAACAATTTTGTGCATCATCATGGAGCTTACTTTACTTTCATAGTTTCATTAGATGGTGAGATAGCATGTTGCTTGCAATTTGATGTTCCTAATCAAAAGAAATGTCATGTAGTTGAACATAATTCAGAGAAAGAACAAAACAATCAGTTTGAAGGAATTAAAAAATAACTACTAAGCGTGTGTTTGCTTCTGATTTTGGACGTGAAAATTCACGTTTACAGGAAGCAAAAAATTCAAGCTTCCACGTAAATTTGATTGTAAACGTGGAGAGAGAAAGAAAAATCACGTTCATAAATCAAAACCAAACACGCACTAAATAAATCTATGAAGTTCAGTCAGTTCCAACAACATCCAAGATACCTATCAGCTTCCTCACTAAGATTTGCAATGATTTGGACAGGAATTTAAGCTTATTTATATGTTTCCCCTTTGTTTCTAGGCTTCTTGGATATGAAGGTGTAGAAGTCATAAATCCAGAAGGGGGTAAAGATGATGCGGAGGAGGAAGCTCAGAGAGGAAGATGGAAACAGGAGGTAAATATTTAATTTGTTTATTTTTTGTAAAGGTTCTTAAATTTCAGGCAATTGTTCTAGTTCCAACTCCCTGTTTGGACATTTAAATTGCTCTCGGAAGTTACCACTCCCTTAAGTTAAATTGTTTGTGTTGTTTTTTAGTTTTATTGACTGTTAATGATAATGATGCTGATATATTTTTTGGTTTTATCTTTATTTATTTCATTTTTCTCTTCTCTGGCATATGCCTCATACATACTACTAATATTCTGAACATCATTTTCTCTTTTTTCTCCCTTTGGCTCATGTATATAAAGGAAAGAGATGGTTACTGGAAGATGATGCATAAATATATTGGCTCGGATGTAACATCAATGGTGACCCTACCTGTTATTATCTTTGAACCAATGACTATGCTTCAGAAAATGGCCGAGGTGTTAACTTTTAGTTTTGCCATCGTTGATGATTCCTTATTTTGTAGTGTCAAATGACAATTGATTGAATTTTAAATTGCTCGAACTAGTTGATGGAGTACTCCCACTTGTTAGATCTGGCGGATGAATCAGAGGATCCATACATGCGATTAGTTTATGCATGTGAGTTATTTTCTCCCCTTGTATTTTCTCTTCTAACTTTTTTCTCCCAATCAAATTGAAAAGTCATCCTGAGGATTTAGTTTTAGATAGGACTGAATGGTAAACTATTAACATTATTACTAGTTTTGATCAAAGATTTGTATTACTGACCTCAAATACCTTTATCTGAGGCATGTTGAAGTAGTTTTTGTTCATCCTGTTGCATTGAAGTAAGTATAGGCACATGTTTTCTTGATTATTTTTTATTGCTGTACTTATGTAATCATCACAGCGTCATGGGCTATATCGGTGTACTTTGCATACCAACGAACTTGGAAGCCTTTTAATCCTATCCTTGGAGAGACATATGAAATGGTTAACCATGGTGGAATTACATTTCTTGCAGAACAGGTATCATTCAAGTATACGACTCTCATGGAAATCCTATGATGCATGATGTTCTATATATCTTTCTCTCTCCGTGTGTGTCTTTGAAATAGTGTTCTTTCTTATGTAGACTAGCATTTGGAAGAAATGTTAATTTCTTCTCCACCTTTCTATTTTTTATTTATTTTTTTATGTGACTTAGGTCGCAACAAAGTATAAGGATTCTTTTAGTTTTCTCTCTTTGTATATTAAAAAAATTATTTTAAATTTCAGGTGAGTCATCATCCCCCAATGAGTGCTGGGCATGCTGAGAATGAGCATTTTACATATGATGTGACTTCAAAGTTGAAAACTAAGTTTTTGGGAAATTCTGTTGATGTTTACCCTGTTGGAAGGTGACAAATATATTGCATTTGTTCAGTAGATTTTGCCAGTTATATCATTTTATTTTTGTTGTTGCTTGTTTGTATTCCTCAAAGTTCCAACTTTGATTGTTGCATTCACTCGTGACACTCTTACTGAAGTTTCCATATTATCTCTATGATCTGAAGAGATTTAAAGTAATTTCAATTTCAAGCATCGTAGATCATCAAGAGACATTAATGATGTTGATGATATGTTGCTTATTTTTGTTCCAATAATGCTTTCTAAGGATTTCCGTATGAGTTTGCCAATGTAGGTTCCATAAAGAATCTTGATGAACTGTGTTCTTAGATGCAATCTTATGGTGGAGCATAATATGGTCATGTAGCAAAATAATTATTGATTTAATCCTAGTTGTTTCACTCCGAAATATCTTGTTTTGTTGTTATTTGGTATTTAAAATTGACTTGTATGTTTGCAGAACTCGTGTGACTCTTAAGAGAGATAATGTAATCTTAGATTTGGTGCCACCTCCTACAAAGGTTAACAACCTCATATTTGGCCGGACTTGGATTGATTCACCTGGGGAAATGATAATGACAAATTTGACAACTGGAGACAAAGCTATACTATATTTTCAACCATGTGGGTGGTTTGGGTCCGTATCATTTCTGTTTCTACTTTCTAAAAAAATTAACATCTTTTTAATTAGTTTGTAAATATATTGGATTTAGATTTCAACCTTTGAGTAATTTTGTTAGTCTGTTACAGGTTTGGCTTCAATGTATAATGAAATTGAAATGATTTTGTGGGTAGATGTTCTTTTTCACTTGACTATTTGATTCGATAGACGACTAGTTACTTACCATTTTGTGCCTGTTAGAACTGAGTTATTTGAAAATATTTGAGTGGCCCTGAATTTTTTTTTTCAATCTTCATCTAGGATTCTATAATTTACTTCATCTTTCTCCATTCAGCTGTTTTGGTATCTTACTATTGTCAATATATCTAACCTTTAATTAAGCTCTATCTATTTCTCAATTTGTCGTAGCGCTGGTCGATATGAAGTGGATGGATATATTTATAATTCTTCTGAGGAGCCTAAAATATTAATGACTGGGAAGTGGAACGAGTCAATGAGTTATCAACCTTGTGATTTAGAAGGAGAGCCTTTTCCAAACACAGAATTGAAAGAGGTAATTTTTTAATAAAAATTCTTTAGAATGAACTTGAGAACTATTTGCGATTAAAAGTTTGCGGCAACTTTTCTTCAAACACTAGGTATCCACTATCTTGCTATGTTTTTGGTCTTGCACTCTTACTGTTTGATGATAAATAACATTTATGAAACTTGTGTTTTTAACAAAGTTGAACAGTGTCATGCAATCCATGTAGCTGACCTCATCTAGTAGGATAAGACTTTGTTGTTGTTGTTGTACTGTTTGATGATAAAATTATTGCCCATCTAGTCATGCTTGGTAGGTTAGAGTTGTAAAGACTAATGCAAATGGTCGTAGTCTCTTCCCAATTAAGGAATTCTTTCAAGCCAAGAGTGCATTGTGGGTGAATATTCTTAATCCATCAACGCTTCCCGGGGGTACATACCCAGCCAAGGTGACCCTCAAAAGAAGAAAAGAACTACTTTTCTCTTGCCTTCCCTTTTCCTATGCCTTCCCTTTTCCTACCAAGCATGTAAGTGTGGCCATTAAACTCACAATTTTTTCAACTATTTCTATTCTAGTATAGCAAATAATGTTTTGTATTTAATCTATGGTTTTGCTTTTTTCCTTTTTAAGAAACCTGAATTTATGCTGGTGATTTTGGACATAACTTTAAAATGCTAATTGTTCGAAGAAACATCAGGTTGTGATGCAAGAGGGCGCTGACATATTCAAGTATCTTTTGTTGCTTTCTTATATATATCAGTTGACAAGATGTATAATCCCTTACAATCCAACCTATTACTGTTGTTTGTGAATTCTTTGATTAGAAGTTATAACCAACGCAATCAATAATCTGCCATGTCACTTTGGATAAAGAAGTAATTTTTCTCTTTGCAGATATATTGATTGGTGAGGACACTAATACCTAAAAGTTCCTTATCATTGTCATTGGCATTTCCTCTGATTTTATTCTGCAGGTTTGGCATCTTGCTGATATTCCACAGAATGACAAATTCCAGTATACACATTTTGCTCATAAAATTAACAGCTTTGACACTGCCCCTAGAAAGTTGTTGGCATCAGACTCTCGTCTACGCCCAGATAGATATGCACTAGAGATGGGTGATTTGGCAAAATCTGGGACAGAAAAGAGCAGGTTCCTCACACTTTCTTTTGTTCCTTCTCTCTCCTTGTGCCAAAAATATTAGCAATGCATTTTAGAACCAATAATAGTATAATACTAGTGTAAAATTGCGTAACAGACAACAGTTCAACATGATCTATATTGTCTTCTGTAATTATTCCTGATATCCATCTAAATAACTTCGCTGAGGTGGATGAAAATTCCTTTTGGGTGGACGGGGGTTCGATTTTGAATGATCATTTTGTTGTCTTCTGTATTGACATCTATCTCATGCTCAAGGGAGTGGTATAGTGACAATGGCTAGAAATTAGAACCATTTACATGCTCTCGAGAATTTTATGCTTCTCTGCAATTATCAAGTGTGAACCCCTCTCTCAAATAGAAATGTGCTTGATTTTCATCAATCACTCACTAGAGATGGCATGCTATGAGGTTGTTTCTCAGGTCATTTATCTTTCGTTTGTTTCCTCAGTTTGGAGGAGAGACAACGAGCTGAAAAGAGAACTCGTGAGGAAAAACGGCATAACTTCACGCCAAAATGGTTTGATTTAACTGAAGAAGTGACATCAACTCCTTGGGGTGATTTGGAAATCTATCAATATAATGGTAAATACACTAAACATCGAGCTGTTGCAGATAGCTCGGGAAGCATTGATGATGTTGATGTTAAATCAACTGAATTCAATCCATGGCAGTATGGTAATTTGGCCACGGAATGAATTAGTTATTTAGTTCCAATTTGCTTTCGATTTTGGATGCTGCAATTAGTTCATTTAACCTTCTATTGATACATAAAACATAGAATAAATCTAATTTTATTTTGGTTATGTTGGCTTGTGCACATTGTAATGTCTATTGTTCTCTTTCTGCCTATATTAGTATTTTAATTCATGTCGTTGTTTTGAATGGATGGTAGCCGTGAGGGTTACCTTGAACTTGTATATTTACGTAGCTGTCTAGTAATTTTTTTGGTAGTGTTAAACATGCAAGATATTGGAGGGTTCTCTTAATTTTCATGGTGCAAAACAATTGGGTTCTAGGGTGATAATTCTACCTGCAAAAACTATTTCATAACGGGTAGGATAAATACTCGTTGAATGAAGATGGGTTCAGAGCTGGTTCCGAAGCTAGAAATTTATGTGTAAAATTTAGTGAATGTGGGTACTACAGGGGCGTGTGTGTGTGCGTGGAGGTATAGAATTGGGTATATATAAATATTTTTTAAGCACAACCTATTCAAACCCTTCTTATTGTCATCCTTAGCCATTATGTAAACTACGTTCCTTTCGACCAAAGCCACACCTCCCAACAAGCCAAAAGAAGGAGTAACATGAACAATTATTAAAAAAAAATGTGTATTTAAATCGTATATGTAATTAAAATATTTATAAAATTGTGTTAAATCTAAATGTTTTTGTAATTTTAAAATGTGAAATAATAAAAATTTTTTAATTATTTTTCAATTTTATCATGAATAAAATAAGAGAAAATAGGTTAAGCATTAGTACTGTAAAAAACAATTATACTAACGATACATGACTACTAAATCTTAAAAATAAATTTGATTAATTTATACTATTTGAAGATTATGAATAATATTTTTAATAGTTTAAAATATAGAAAATTTAAAGTTAAAATCAAATAATACTTAAAATAAATTATTATTTTAATATTTAATAGACAATTTATATTTTATTAGTACTTATGTAATATGAGTTGTAATGGGTATTTAGTACTATCTCCATTCCTACATATATAGATTAAATACTGAATTCATCAAGATATGAAAGTAGTTAAATTAGTTAGTGGTAATTAATAATGTTCTAATTTAAAATTTTATCCTAAAAATACTTATTAAATAGTATTAATGGTAATTATATTTAATGACACTACTTAAAAATTAAAGAATAACTTTTCAACCAATAAACATCAATTATAGTGTTAGTTCATGCATTTATAAAACCAGTGAATTAATAACTTATTAATAAACTCATAATAAATTAAAGATACAAAAGATAATTATCAATTAATGTATTTAAAAGTAGTCATATATTTATTATAATTATAATCGAAATAAGGCACTAATTTATTTCTTATATACTAACAAAGTAGTATCAATTATTAAAATATAATATATTTGTTACTATATGACAAAATTATTAAACACTTGAGTTTTATATTGATTGTGTATGGCACAAATATTCATACAATTTTAAATGATTTTATTATTTTAATATTATAAATATTAAAACTATATAGCATATATCAGTATTAATATATTTCATGACAAAAAAAATAGCTTTACATTTGATGAGAATTTATATATTTAAATTAATTATAAAATATTTACTTTTGATATATTTATTTATAACATAAAAATATATATTTTTCATATAATTTAAATATTGAGTTTAGCAAACACATAAATTTAAATATTGTAAATATTGTAAATGATATAAAATTTTAAATGAGTTTTCTATTACTTTTAGGTGATGTTAAAATGATTAAATATATACAAAATATTAAGTTATTCTAAAAGTAATTTTAAAAGAATTGCTCTTTATCCACTTTCTTTATTTTCTTTTAATGATGAAGAATAAAACACTTGTTAGAACCATTAGATTAGAAAAAATAAAGAGTGTAGATGGAAAGTAACTTTTATAGAGTCGAGTAATACTCGTCAAATTTAATATTATACTTAAATGTAAATGTTATTATAATTTTGAAACATATATTCATAAAATAATTCAATTATTTGGTGATGATATTTTAAACAAAATTAAATTTTCATTTTCCATATACATATATTTGTATAATAGATGAATGATATAAAGGAATTTTCGTATAAAATGCGCAATATAAAAAAATACATCATACATTGAAGAGTAAAAGTTTTCAAAACAAACAAAGTCTTAATAATAATTTAAATTTATATCCGTGTTAGTTACTTAAGTACCCTTAAAAATGAATGAGTTCTGTTGTTTTCTTCTCTCTCTCTCTCTTTTTGTTTCTGTTGGGTGTGACTGAGATATGAATACTTCTACGTCAAGTAAATTATATTCAAGTTACGTGACCTTCAATCTCCCTCCAACTCCACACTTCATGCCTAGGCTAGCTCCCATTTTCAAACTCCTTCTTTTCATATCATATTATTCTATATTTTTCTATTTTCCTTTTTTGCTTTTACTCCAGCATACTGTCACTTCATATAGGTCATACTCACACTTTTGATTACATGTATTTATATCTTTTATTCTTAAAATAGTAGTTTCAAATTTACACTTTCATGATTATCAGACAAAATATTAATGATATGTTTGAATTCTCAAAATAAGTATTAATGTTCATTTAGTGATAAGATGAATTTCACTAAAAGCTTTATCTTTTAACACTAAAACATTTCTTTGAATAAATCTACCTCTTGAAATAAGACTTTAATAGTCACACATTATGAAATATATAAATGGGATGTTGAATTATTTATGTCGAAAAACAGTGTGAAACCCAGATGAGTTAGCAATGATTCCACCATGGCATGATCTTCAAATAAGACAAAGAATGCATAGGTTTTTCCAGCTTTGTTGGGGAAGGATATGGATTCCTTTGCCTTCAAACTAATACGAAATGGCCTAACACGCTATCTCTCTCGTGGGCCACCTTGCATTTCCTCCTAATCACGTGCCACTATACCCTTTTTCCAACCAAAATTAATTGCTAAAGGACAATTGATTTTCAGTATCCCCCCCTTTTTTTTTGTAACACACATTTGTTAAGTCAAGATAATGTTTATAATAATTTTATATATTTGGAATTGGACGAAAAAACAATTTCAATAAAGTATAATATATTTTTCGGGGATAAAGAAAAGAAAATTAAAACTTATCAAAATTTATTAGACAGTTGTATATGGCTAGACATAGACAGAGATGAGTAGGGGATTAAATGTATAATTGATTGTGTTACATGGTAAGACGGCAACAACATGTTTTACGTTCCAAGCTTGTCTGTTTGGTTGAACTAACTTTCTCCAAAGTGATTAAAATATGGTTTGCCTTTATATGTTTTTGTAACTCATCAAACTATCTCACTTATACGCGGAAAAAAACTAAGCTAATGATGTGTAGTTCTTTTAATTCTTGCGAGTCTATCTTCAAATTGTTGGGATAATAATTTTATTTTTTAATTTTAAATCTCTAAAATATTATTAAGATGTAGAAAGATATTGTCTTTTGCTAAGATGTAGTGTAAAATTTAAGTATTTGTATTTATTTTAGATAATTAGTATTTTAGTCTGGTTAATGCATATATATTTGTTATATAACTAAAATTTATAATAAACTATATATAAAAATAAATATTATGTTTTAATCTATAAATTATATTCAGAACTTGTATAAATAGACATTTTAAACATATAAATTATAAATTAGATTTATGACTAATAATTTATATTACAGTAAAAAAAATTATTTATTGATAATTTATTTAACATATTAATATTTAATTTATAAATAATTATGATAACTAAAAATAAAATTAGATAAAAAAATAAAAAAATTCTACAAACTTTGTAATTGAAGAAAAATTCTTAAAATCACTATCACATAAGATTAAGGTTTGTATTTGATATATAACGATCAATTGTTTTATCTTTAAAGCCTTTGATCAAATATCAATAAATAGAGAAAAATATTTTTGTAGATGTTAAAATGAGAGATTGTACCATATTAAATAAATTTGAGATTTTGAATATTCATTGAAGTATTGTCATTAACATAGACATAAGGAAACATAATTAAGTTAAATAAATTTATATAATTTTTTTATTTTTATGAAATTACTATTTAGTGTTTTTTCATATCATTTGTGTGAAAAAATTGAAGAGGAATTTTTTTATTCTCATCACAAATACATAAGTAAAATTATATCTCGATTTAAATTGTATAAGTAAAGATCATAATAAATAAATTATACATATCCTTACTTGTTTTAAAGATTCTTATAAAAATCAGTTATGATGCTATTTCACTGAATAAATGTGTTAAATGATGTATAAGGAATGTACAATATATATATATATATATATATATATATATATATATATATATAAAATTAAAAATCGTATTTGTTATGTTTCACAAACATTTCTTATTGTTTTTAGGAGACTTAATTACTTATTTATTATAAATGAAGAAATTAGTTGATTTAGTTGATAATATTAGTGTAAGCAACATTTTAAATTAATTAGTATAAAAAATAAAATAATGTTTTCGAATCACAAATAATCATTTAAGAGAAATCGTTGTTTTTAGTTTTTATTAATATTTTAATTAAAATTACAAAATTTAATATATTATATTACTAAATTAAGATAAATTCATTAAATAACTGGTAAAACTTTTTTTTAAAAAATTGAATAAGTTACTAAATTATAGTGTTAAATGTGCATAAGGCATTCAGAAACATTTAATATGGATTATGGAGGAGTTTTAAAATTAGAGATAAATTGGAAGAGAGAGATTCCGAAACAAGTTTGTCGATTTGACAGTGACGTCACATTATCTGTTCATAAAATAGTAATCAAGAGAAAATATGAGGCACTTTTTGGCTAATGGACGTGGTTCAACCAATGCCGCACCGCCACGTGTAACGATAAAATGAAAGTCTCCTCTTGAGATGACACATGTCCATATGATTACAGCGTAATGACGTATTGACGGAGATTCCTGAAACGCCGTTATGTTGTGCAAATCCCTCTCATGGTAATGATAAAATGATACGTAATGAGTGGCAATTACAAGTTAAAGCAACTTACACCTCACCTCACTCTTTCAGTTTCAATCCCATTGCGTTCCATGCTTTCACTTTCACATACAACCATCATCATAAAGATTTATTACTTTCTTTTTTTTCCCCTTAATGTTGAAGATTCCATGTAACAAAAAAAAAATACTATACATAATTCTAGATAAGAAAAAAACTCCAAGCGTGTGGTTTAGCGGTAGTGGTTGATCCACGCTTAACCAAGGTCAGGGATTCAAATTCTGTCTTGTGTATACATTTATCAAAGTCTTTTGTTTTATTTGACAGAGAAAGAAAATAATTCAAATAAGGAAAGAAAAAAAATAATGAGACCATTCAAATATATTTTCTTCTTATAATTTGGAGAGAATAAAAATGCATAAGTAGATAAAATTAATCAATATTTTAGTTAAAGAGATCAAATTTTACACTCAAATCAACAACTTGTTAGAAATGAATAATGAGACAAATTAATTCAAAATATTATATTTTTTTTAGTGTATAAAATTATTTTTCATGGCATCAATTATATACAAATTTATTTGATAATTAACAAATTTATTTAATATTTTAGTCTTAATTAAAAATTATCTTTTTCTTATATTACTCTTAATTAAAATTTGATACATAGGATAAAAAAATGTTATTAAAAATATAGTTTTAATTAAATAAAAATATTTTTAAGAATAATATTATTAAATAGAATAAAAAAAAAGAAGATTTAGATGTATTTAGGAGAGTTATTTTCATGAAACCTTGTCATGATACATTGATACATAACCAAAAAAGCATCGCGCTTCCCCAACCCACCACCAATGAAAGGCTAGTCTTGGGCACGATGTCATGATGTGACAAAAAATACTCCATAATTATAAAATATTACATGTTAATGTTATAAATCAAATTAAAGTGACTGGCTAAAGAAAAGAAAATAAATAAATAAATAATCCAATCTCACAGTTATCCATCGTTTTTCATTTTAACCTGCTATATCCGGTGAACATAAGAGCAATCACCGGCAAACCCGGTGGCCGGGGGGGTCATATAATGCATTGGGGTTTAAGCTAAGGATGGATAGTACTTTCAGAGGGTTTTGAAAATTCAAAGCAACAAATTCTTTTCCTTTTCTGCTCAATTTGTTTACCTACGACAAAAACCAACCAAATTTTCGTGAAAATTCAGATAAATTGTTTCTGTGAGGGAAAACTAGTGTTGTAATTTTTTGTGTGTGTTTGTGTGTGTGTGTGTGTGTGTGAGTGTTTTTTTTTTTTTTTTCTTTTTCACTTCGGATTCTCCGATAATTCGCCGATCTTACATTTGCCGGAATTTCGGTTCGTCCAGTTAAAATTGTGCAGAAAGAGGTAAAGGCAATTTTTTCATGAACGCATACAAAGTTTGTTATTCTCTGGATGGCGTTTTTTTTTTTTTTTTTTTTTTAGAAATTAAAAAAAAAAA